CTCAGCAATATTGGGGCCACTTGACTATGCAGGATATTTGTAAGCCTCAAACTTTCGTTTTAGAGCAGACAAAGTATGCTTGTCCTGACTTGTGCGTCATCATAATGCAGCAGGCCTACCGAAATGCCTATCCATTCAGTCAACATCAGTCAGATTATGTTCTCATCTACACACACACACACACACAAAAAGGACACAGAGTTGGAGTGGGGCTAAAACATTTTCAAAAAGACTTAAAAACTTCAGTTTGCTTCTGCTGGTTGGACAGGAAAAGTCAAAAATCAACGAGGACCCTGCTCAATGCAATCAATGGCTTAAACCAGAGCACAATCGGGTAACAACAATAAAAGCAGCAAAAACACGAATAACAACTCCAACAACTTGTCAAACAACCAGGCCACTTTACACAGATTGAGATAGAGAGAAAAATTGCAGTGAGCCGAGATTTCATAACAATTTTTGCTGCCAGGCTGGCTTTTGGCACGGTATAAAGTAAACAGTGTTGGGCCTAAATGTATGCAGTGCATTTCTACCGAGTCATTGTGAGTGGGGGAAATGGGGAAAAGGTTAAAAATCTTGCTGATTGAATGGTTTACTCCCAGTCAAGCTGTCTGCCTGGGATCTTAGCCCAGTATCCAAGCAACAAATTGACAAAAATTGAATAAAATAATGCCCAGCCAGGCTGAGTTTGTCATGCGTGTGTGTGTTTGGGCTAAGCCAGTACAACCACTAACACCACCACAGCCACCACCAAACATCCTGAAATATGGCCAGGTGGCTTTCGCTTATGCAATCCTGCAAATGGAAATATGTTGTATATATTTATCGCTCGCATCGCCTGCTTTTCAAGTAATATGGAAAAGCAAAAAGTTGCACTAGGCAAACTCGATTGCAACACTTACACAGGCAACCAACTGACACAAGCACACACTTTTCACTCACACACATTTTTTCAGTGCACAGTGGGCCTAAATACAGGTATTTGGATTTTTCATTCAGTTGTTATTGGAAATAATTAAATCAACCATCTTTTTCCGCATTTTTGGGTCATTTTATAACCACCATATTTCAATTTTCTATAAGTTTCTCGTTTATCTTATTATTCCAATAAATTTAAGTATACCTAAAAATTCAATAAAGACCAACAATATTAATGATTATGTTTATTTTAATTAAATTACTTTATTTTTACTTAAAATACTTTATTTTTGATTTGTAATTTTCAGGTAAAAGTCTAATAGTTTTTATTTTTGTGAAAGAAATGCACTTTTTGCCCCACTGTGCAGTGCATTGCATAGTGTACATTTGCGCCTACAAGCGGGCAATAGATTTAGCAATCTGCTCTGTATTTGCGCACATGATTTTTCTCACTCAACGTGCGTTTTTCTCCCTGCCCGCGATGTTTCATTTTGTTTTTATTCGTGATACTTATCTTCTTTACTGAAGAAGTCCACAATACATATTTCAGGAACTTGAAGGTCTATATTATCTGTGGAACTTTAAAAACTTTTAAATAACATTTGCATTCTCTCGGTTGATACTTTGGATTTAATAACACTTTGACGATCTTTTGAGAATTACCACTTCCTTGATTTTTGTCTTTATTTTGAGGACTTACGAAAGTATTTCATAATTTACATGATTTGGATAAGCTTAAAAATGAAATGATCATAGATAAATTTGTAATTAAAATATTTCAAATTTTTAAAGTGGAACAATTTTTGTGCCTGTAGAAATAAAAATAAAATACCATTGTATCAATTATTGTTGCTCATTCATTCATTGAATGTTCAGAGTTTTTGTAGTTTTAATTCGTTTAAATTATGAATATCAATGTTTAATTTGAAAGAATTCCTTGGAAAATGTCCCTTAAAGAGTATAGGAGTGTCGGTATATCGCATTATTTTTGATATATCCACCGGTTGTGTGAAGGAGTGGCTCCCCCAGAGCGGCCTGTGTAAATGTGCATATGGAACGTGGCTGATGATGGGCCACAGCAACGAGGATGCCGCTCGGGACCCAGCTGGATGGCAGTGGGTGTGGGAATGGGTGTGGGTTGTGGGTTGAGGGGTGTGGGGTGGCCGACGGGCGGAGTGGCATCATAATGCTAATGATATTTGCCTTAAAGAATGGCAGCGAGAGTCAGGTTACAGGTAACATCCAGTTAGCAGCTGCTGCTGGGGACTTTAGTTGATGAAAAACTCTTTAGAAATGCATTAGTAATTTTCCATGGCCTGTTGGGCAGGACCTCGGTCCTTCTGCTGTCCCTTCCACGGTTGTGTTTTTGTTTTCACAGGTTTTCACAGTCAATTGACCAATGAAATGTGCAGAGGAATGAAGCGTGTATAATGTGGAATGGTCGATGGCAGGGCGATTATATGACGGCAGAAGTTGTATTGCGGGTGTCTCCGATGTTAGTCATAGAATCTGTGTGAACATCTGATTAAAACTGCATTTATACGTTAAAAAAGTATCTCTTTTAAGAGATCACTGCTAGTAAAAATTTAACTCGCTCTTTTAAATACCAAACATTTATATTTGATGACAGCCATATCAATTAGTGGATTGCAATGTCATCAAAAGCTTTATAAAATTGGAGCCGTAAGGCAAATTCATTTACGGTTTTTAATTTTAATACATTCTTTTATCGCAATAATCAAAAAATTCAACAAACAAAATTTTGTATGAAAAAAATGAGTTTAATTATTATTTAATTTAAAGTTTTAATTAGACTTTTTATTTTCTTAAACAAAATTTATAAACCAATTTAAAAGTACTTTCCATTCAATTTCGACTAAAGTCATTCCAATAATTCAAACTAGCCCATAATTATTTCGATTGCCAACCAGACATTTAATTGATCCACACATTATACGCATTTGTGTGTGGGTATTTAAATTAAAAACCGATACGCAAACGCAATTTAATTTTTAAAAGGATTTAAGTAAACTGATAAAGCTACAAACATAGAATGTTAAAAGCCAAATTACATCGATATGTTTCATTTGAAATCAAAAACTAAATTAAATATGCAATTGATAGCGATGAACAAAATGTTAAGTTATAATCGAAATTGACAGCTCATTGGATTTTAAAATTTAATAACAGTGTTAACAGCACATTTGATGCCGCGATAATAAAATCAGATATCAAATAAATACGAGAAACTAACCATTATAGAAAAAGGATATGAAAAAGGTCATAATTGACAGCTCATTTGATTTGCATTAAAACAGTATTAAAATGCAATTCAATGTGATTTGCATCAAAATCTGTATCATATTTTAAAACAGTCGTAATAAGTTCCGCGAACTGTGGGGAATAGGCTTTATCTGCTGCAAATTGTTTAGTAATGGCGATGGGATTCAAATTGAATCCATTTAAAATAAATATTAATAATTAACAGCTTAAAGATATGTGGTTAAAGGCCTTGGCTTTATTAAAAGCATACCTTTATGTATTATAGCAAACAAATGATGAAATAAACACTCCATTCCTTTATCTATTGTAAAGATTAATTTTATTAAATTTACGACAAATATTTTAAACCATCTAAGGTACATTAAATAAAAAATTTCATTAAAAACAAGGGAATTATAATCCTTATAATTTCTGTTCTACATGAAGTGGTAGTGTGATCGTAATTTGAGCAGCACTTTAGAAGCACAGTAGAAACATAATTAAATCATGAGTGTAAGGAATAGGTCGAATGGATTGCCCTTCAACTGAGTCACACCCAATTCTGAATAGGCGTGTCGTGATAATGATGTCGTCGATGATGATGATGATAATGATGATGATGGCATGGGCGTGGATAATCGTAACAATTATCAGCGATGAGCCTGCGACACTTGACGACAAACATTGTCACGCTTCCACTCGAACTTGTAGTAAATCCCACCCACTGGGGGCGATAAAATTTTGTTGCCCAGAGTAACGCTTAACGATTGTGTTCATTGACTTTGGTCTAACGATTTTGTTGAGTAGGCTAATGTGCCAGGACGGGCCCTATCCCTATTGTAGCCACTTTATCGATAGGCTTTCGGCGGGTGGGAGGTGGTGAGTGCGGAGGGGGCTTATCAAGCTTATCGGCCAATAATTCCCTGATAGCGCATTGCGCACATTCGACTGGCCCCCATGAATCAGTCGTTGGAATCGTGAGCGTGATTTGATAACTGCCATTTCGCTTTATCTCTCCGCCTCCGCCCACTCAACGTGACATATAAAATACATAGTGTAGTGCAGGGCATTTTACAGAACTTTTAGTTTTCGACTTTAGTGTATGTGTTTAAAATAAATTACAATTTAATTTATAAAACTACAAAATGGATTCAAAATTAAAAAAATTGAAAATATAAAAAATTAGAAAATTTGAAATCTGTGTTAGTTTTCAAAATACAATTAACAAAAAAAATAACCGGATATTATTAGTATTTTTTTTAAGTATAATATATAAATTTGAATTAACTGTTTAAAAAATGTAATTAATTTATATTTTGTATATTATTAGCACAAGGAAACAATTTCAAATTCAATTTTTACGTCAAATATTTTAAACCATCTGAAGTACATTTCAAAAAAGTAGTTAATTTTGTGTTTTGATTTGGTGTTAGTAAGCAAATTGATGAATTAAACATAGTTAAATAGTTCTTAAAGTCTGAATATAATAAGTGAAACTAAAAAATAATTCCAAATATAATGATCTAGTTTATATGTTTTTATGAAGGCTGTGCAATAAATTTATTTAAGGTATAAATTAATAAGAAAATGTATTAAAAACTTCCCCCTTTCTTGAAATTCTCCTGTAGATTATTTGATTGTCGACTTGCATCACGTGCTTTACGTCATCGACTTTTATCAGGTATGAAATAACCTATTAATAAAACCGCACATTTGGGCATATTATTTTTATGTCCATGGGTATATCAAAGTCAAATTGAAATCGCTATAAAAGCACGACAGTCGATTCAAAACATTTAGTTGCAGAAATTCCACGGAACCGATGGGCTTTGTGCAGTGCAGAGAAACTACTAGTATTAATTAAAATCATTGAACAAGTCGAGTCGAGCGAATAAATTATAACCAGTGACAGTGCGAGCGATAAATTAAATAGCGAAAAATAATGCCGAACATTGTCGCACTAAAGCTGAGCGCCAGCTATCCGATCTTGCCGGGTCACCAGGGTCACAAAGGTCAAATAAAGGGGGAGGGAAATATCCTGGTACTGGACCAATTGGCACTGCAGCAACAAATCAGTGCGAATTTCATTTTCCATGCGATTTCCAACTACAAGAAAACGCCGTCCGAGCGAAAAACGCTGGACTTCATTGCCAAAAAATGGCTGCAGATCCAGATGCTGTGGCGCGAGTTCCGGCTGAGGGATAAGCAAATACGGCGTGGCCACAAGGATGCCCACTGGCTGGAGCACGGCTACTTCCAGCAGGAGCTCTTCGAGCTGGTCCACGAGAAGTATTCGGCGGCCCGTGGCTGCCTGAGTCGTGACAAAAGGAGTCTGCTCACTGGCCGGCCAACACTGCCATAGTGTTTATTCAGTCGACGAAAAGGTGGCGGAAGGCCCCTAGAAAAAGGCATAAAGAAGCTGGCAGGAAAAAGGATGAGTCAACCAGAAGAAGAAGTGGCGGAGGATACGGACGTGTGAAAACTTATTCCCAATATCCTCCCCCCACGCCCTGAAAAACACGCATTCGTGTGTGGTCTGCACTGGGTAAACAGTTCGGTTCGGAGATGATATCCGTCAACAGCGATTCCATTTCCATTCCACCAATACCAATCGCAATCTCAATCCCAATCCCCATCCAGTGGGCAATCAATCTGACTGGACGCCAATGATTGATTGCACTCGGCAAATGCTTATCACAATTATTATGATATGCCAAAAGGTTATACAAGTCATGCTGATGACGTCGATTGGGGCCACGAATTGTTGCAAGTGGCCAAAAGCATTTATATTCATTATATCCAAAGCAATAAAAAACAATCTAAAAAAACGCTTAGATTTTACTTAGGTACAAATGTTGAAATAATCATTTACCATCGGTCACCTTCAAATTTAAATAAATAATTAAACTTTGAGCCTTTAATCAGCATTAATCAGATACCAACTTCCAAAAATATGACCAATTCTCTGGGGAATTCCTTCTTCAACCAGCAAAAAACACTTGAACAATTATATCAGCTAAATCAGCGATAAGATAAGAGGAGCCTTGGGAATTCCGCTTTTAATCGGGGGAAATGCCTTTGTCAATTACGTAGACTTCTCACAGCTGTCTGCGAGGGCAAACCTAATTTACTGTCGGGCAATTATCTTGTTTTTGGTCAGTTTTCCACGAATAGAAAAGCAAGGGAAAATCAATTTCCTAACCAAATAAAGCGCTAAACAGCTAATAAAAATTGGCCACACACAAAAACAAACTAATTCGATAATTTGTTTTAGATGCCAAAGCGAAAGAGCAAAAAGCAATGACCGAAGTCCTCGACGCCATTTGGGTGTTGAGCCCAGTTGAATCTGCGTTTTAGCCATGGCCATCGGCTTATATCTAATTTAGCGCGATTAAGAGGGCCGAGAAAAAAAAAAACAGCGAAACAAAATCGAGGCCAGGCCACTAAACTGAATTAAGACCGCAAATTTATGGGTGCCGGCTGCTGGCAACATCCCCAATCTCGAATCCCAAAGGTTTTCACCCGAGGGAAACCTTCTGTTGACAAGAATAATGTCCTTATGGAGCGATATTTGAGGATGTTTCAAGTGGAAAGGGAAAGCCTTTAGCTTGGCGACACATGAATATTGTTTAAAGAAATTATAAAAAAAAAAATACTTTTCTGTGACTGTAGCAGTTTAAGCAATTTAAAAGAAAATCTGTTCAAAATAGGTCCTTAAAAAAAAGGATAAATATTCTTATATGCAAAACAACTTAGTACATTTATTTGTGTTATGCTCTATGACGTGTTTATTTTAAATGCTTTGTTAAGCCTATTATTGTATGAAACACTTTCTAGCTTAACCAAAAAATAGTTCAGCCATGTATAAACTTCGTTTATTTATGTTGCCCAAATAGCGAATAAAGTAGCAACGACGCAACATAAATCAAGAAACCGGCTTCCGACCTTACTAGTACTCATAATGTACAACATTTTTGGAGTAAACTTTTCCATCCCCCCATCCAGAACTCAATGGTAATCGGCTCCCAACCCGCTTTTATAGGTCCAACAATCAACCCAAATTGATGTACATTAAAGTCCACCCCACCTGATTCGATGCCAAATAGTGAGTCACGGAGGAGTGGCGAATAAATTTATGCAAAGCAAAAGCAAGGTAGACAGACCCCCGCGTCGCTGGCAATAGGCCTTTTAAAAGAAAAATAAAAACATAGCATACTTTAGAGGCTGTGCGCACTTTAATAAGATTTATTAAGTCGCGAAGGACCGCGGCGAGGACCTCGACATTGACTGGGTCCTTGGCAGTATCTTAACCAACAAAAAAAAAAGAAGAAAAAAAGGCAAATAGCCGGGCTGGAATGGTGGGTGGGATTTGGGCCAGTCTGAACCGCGTTGTAAATATTTGTTACTCAACTCTTGCCACCGCTGTTTGCGTATTGTGTTGTCGGCTGTTTGTTTTCTTGTTTGTGCCTCACTCCCTGCCCCTCCCCTACCCCCCTCCCCCTCCCCCTTCCACCTTCCCCCTATCCAGTGTTTATTTTGCAGCTAATAAAAAGTTGATGTGTTGCCTCTGTTCTTGGCTGCCTGTTTTCTTTTTTTTTTGTGTTGTGCAAAATTTTTCACAGTGAGCTTCGCCTCAGTTGGGGCCTAAAAAGCGGCAATGAACTTTCACTGCACATTCTTGGAATTTTTTTAGCCCCTTTTCCTTTTTTTCTGGCAACGTTTTGAGGCCCAACATATGACTGCGGCATATGTGTGAGTGCGCAGGGAAAGCCGGTTAAATGGAGCGGCAATTGTTTGTTTGGAAACTTTGGTTTTGCTAGCTTGGGGAGCCCAAGATTTGTTTGTTCCGCCACAGAAGTTCGGCTTTCGTTGATCTCAATTGGAAATAGCTGAGTATTCGAATGTTTGTCCTTGGATATTGGTAATGGAAGGTAAGAATTAATAATGTATTATCATTTCAATTGCGCAATACTAAGAAATGTTTACCTGAGTCTTATTTTGATGATTATTTCATACCTTAGAATTATTTAAGAGGGTTGAGATAAGGATTGTTTGATTTAGATTGAACACCTGATGCTCTTGACATTATTGCACAATTTCATAAGTGATAAATATGCCATTTCAAGGAATTATAAAATTTATTGCATTTCCAAGAAATTGTCTATTTACCTGAAAGCTATTAAGGGGACTTATTAAATTTGTTGGGAATATATTTATATACTTTGATAAATTTTATCATTTTTTTTAAGCCATGATATATAGGAAGTAAATCAAATCTCCCACATTTAATTACATTAAATTTTCACTTACAATAAAAATGTTTAATCCGTAAGGCATTATGTCATTGTAGATGTTTGAATAACTCAAATACATTTTTATGCATTTGTTATTTATTTACTACTCTCATTATTCCTTCCAGCACTTGGTCATTCTAGCCTGGTACTAACATCCTAATCTCAATCCCCTGATCCTAGTCCCTATCCCAAAATCCAACCACACAACATGTTAGAGGCGAGACTGCAACCAATTGCTGGGTTTATTTCAGCATTTGCTTGTGTGTTTGTGTTTATATCATAAAAAGCAAATTTAATAAATATTTTGGGGCTTTCAGCGGCAGCAGCGGGAGGCAGTGAACCATTTCAAAAAGCGGAAAAAAGCATGAAACAACAGAGAGTCGGGCCGAACGAACGGAGCGTCATATAAAATTGATGCCCCTGTCGTCTGGTGGCGCCACCTGGTCTGCCCTCTCTTTCGCTCGGCATCTGGCCGTCTCTTTCCGGCTCGGCTTCACAAACGTACACACACACACCCACACACACACCCAGTAAATAATGTAATAATCTGGCCGGGTCGTGGTCTCCCTGCGACGACCCATAAACCGAAATTTATGCACGAAATTCAATTATGCTTAAAATGTGGTTAATAGGCCGACTGGCGGAGCCTCCAACTTCCAACTGGCAGCCATGGCAACAATGGGCCACAATGGCACCCCACGGGAAAAATATGCAATGGTTATGACCTCCCAGTATCCCAGTATCCCACTTTCCCAATTCCCCGTATCGCCACCATACCTTTAACCTATCTAACGCAATTTATTAAATATTATTCAGCCTACTCCCCGGCCTTTGAAATTAGATATCGTTATGTTGTTATTTAATAACAAATTCGGTATTTGTTGTTACTCTTTTTATGGCTCATATGTGGGCGCCTTAACCAGAAATGGCTGTGCTCCTCCAGCCAGGAGTTTTATGGACCCCAAGCCCGTCGAAATATGTCCTCGGAATGGGAGCTTTGTTTCGCTTTTTGTTGATTCTTCTCAAATGGTTTATGGTCTCGGTGCCGGGACACATCATATTTTCATCTCTTTTTATGATTTAGTAGAGAGTCTGTCCGAAAGTTGAAAGTGGTTTATGAGTGGGTCAGAATATTATTTTGAACAGGACTGGAAAAGGTAAAGTTAATTCAACTGAAATTGGGCAAATGAAAAATGTTCTCTTAGTTGGGAAAACATAAAACGAAGTGAGTAATGGGAGTATATCAAGTTAATTTAAGCCAAATAACAACCGAGAAATGGGTTTAGTTCGGGTATTAGCATTGTAAGGACCTTTCCACCTCTTTTGCAGGAGCAATAAACGAATTAACTGGGATCGAATGGGATAAAACGGGGGTATTTGTCTGCTCACTTGATGGACCTAGCACTAACTGAGCCCCTGGCTTTTGTGAGGAGTGCCTTCCGAGCCACACAACCGACTTCTTGGCTCCCCTTTCCCAGCAATTTGGCCTCGTTCCTGTACTTGTCCTTTCTGACACTCCAACAACCAACAAACGATAACGAAACAAATCCGTGCACATGAACTGAACGCACAACAGTACAACAGTAGTCCTGGACGCAAGTCGAGGGGCAAGTGGAACAGAAAGACAAACTCAAAGTCAGCTCAAAACTTGCAAAATGATTTTAAATGACATAGGAAATGGCAGACGCATCGCACACTCGCACCCACATCCAGCCACGGTTCGTCCTGAGTCCTCGATCTTGTTAAGATAAAGTCGCCTTGCAAATATTAACAACAACAGCAAGTACGTACGTTGATAGAAAAAATAAATAGTGAAAACAAAATGGCAACAGCAGACTAACGCAAAAACGGTGGAGAAAGCGCCTGCAGGTTGTCTAGGCGGTCGAGGCTAAGACAACGGCACACATATGAGCAGCCATGACCATGCCTCGACCGAATCGCGAACACAGTGGTTCTATTTCGCAGAAAATCTGTTCTCTTTTACAAGTCTTTTAACTTTAGAAAGTCACACATTTTCTACATAATTATAAATTGTTAAATATTTGCGGTTTCATTTAAAAGTTGAACAATACCACTGTGTCAAAAAACTTATCCTTTTTTTTCACAAACAGGAGAATCGCTTCTTGTTTTTGAAATTCTTTAAAAATATGACCAAATTTAACTATTTGGTGATTCCACGAAACTCAAGTTAATTTTTATTTTGGGTTTTTGGGGCATTTAAATGTATAAGGGCTATTTTGTTCTTTCTAAACCAAATTGGACGCACCTAGGATCTAAACTATTAATTCCAGGTTGATTCTGGAAATTTTATTTTTTTGGCCGATTTTCGTATTTTTTATAAGGGTTTACATAATGATTTTTTGCAAAAATTTGAATATTTTGAATTGTGAATGGAAATAGAATAGAAATTGTATAACCAATTCAAGGCTGTGTGGTATTCCAACATTTTAGCATTATTACAATTGAACATAAACAAAATCTTAAAAATGATTTTATAAATTAAAAAGTTGTCCAGCTCTTTGGTCTTTATTACAACATTTTTTAAAAACATATTTTGTAATGTGCTAATATTTTCTAAAACCATTTTTCCTATATCCATCTTCACTGTGCGATTGTGTGTTGTCGTGCCTTTATTATAACGACAACAT